TTTTTTTTTTTTTTTTTAAGGCATCATTCCTGCCAGTATTCTAGATATGATCATTTTCCACTCAGGATCCTACCTCAGTCCTCTTGGAATTTCTACTCCTGGAGGAATGGGAGGGCCGGCGGTGACCGGGCCCTGCTGGGTGACCGGTGGCTGGACCCCCTCAGACCCTACTGCCCGCCAAGGAGTGACCAGCAGCTGTCTGGCGTTTGCTTCCTTGGCAAAATAAACTTGGTTCTTCAAAGAGCTGTGAACGTTGATAAAAACTAGGATAGGAAAAGGGAGTGTGTGTTTGCTTTTAGATGGCACATTTGATGTTACAGCGATGTTTGATTTTCCGTTTCAGAGAAAAGAAGCCAAGAAAACACAGTGGGGACCATGAGAACCTGATGAACGTGGTAAGCCCGTGTGTGCGCGTGCGCGCGTGTCTGCATATGTGTGTACGTCTCTGCGTGCATTATGTGCATGTGTCTGCATGTGCGCACGTGTGTGTGTGTGTGTGTGTGTGTGTGTGTGTGTGTGTGTGTGTTCAAACATCAGCCACTGATCTCAGCGTGCTCCTGCAAGCTTACAACTTCCTTCAGGAAGGAACTCAGCCAGAGCCCCCTGGCTGCCTGGGCTGGGTCCTTTCTGTAGGCGCAGACTCGCCGAGGCTGCCGGCCTGTGCAGTCAACCAGGCTGGTGAGGAGGGGATCTGAAATGGTGTCATCGTGCCACTGCCAGGAAGATCCGAGAGCCCAGCCCACAGCAGGGATGTCTCCTTTTGGCCTCTGCCCAGCTCCAGCTGGTCAATTCGCTGTATGGGTTTGCTGGGACTCTCATAACCGAGGGCCACAAACGGAGCTAACAGATGTGCTGTCTCCCCGTCTGGAGGCTGGAAGTCCCTGATCAAGGTGCCGGCGGGGGTGGCTGCCTCTGAGGCCCTGAGGGAGACTGTCCCCCTCTCTCCTGCTGGCCCTCTTTGGCATGCCAGGTGCCTCCCTGTCACCGGCTGTTTCCCCTGCGTCTCTTCCTCATTGTGTGTCTGTCTCTGTCTGAGTGTCCCCTTTTTGTAAACACTCCCGTGTGACCTCATCTTGAATGGTTTCATTGGCAACGACCCTGTTTTTAAATAAGGTCACATCCTAAGGTTTTAGGGGCTAGGACATCAACACAGGAATTTGGGGAGGCTACAGTTGGACCCATAATAGCTGGCCATCGAGCTAACCAGAGCCTGGGACCCCCAATAGCCTTGCTGGGTTTTCCGTGGCCCTTGGTGTCTTATGGGGTATGCCAAGCTCCAGGGGCATCTCAGGTCCACCCTGGTGAGGAGCGGCCTGGTTGTCCTGGTCCTGCCTTGTTCTCTCCACTCAGGTTCATGCCCATGGCCGGCTGGCTGAGACCCTCTCCTCCTGGGAGCCCCTGGGGGTCCCTTTCCTTCTGCTCTCTGGGCACCGGCAGCTGTCCTGGGTTTTGGCACCACCCCCTGTGCCTTTTGTCTCACCCCTGTCACAGTCTCTGGTTGCCTGGTTCCCAAGGGCATTCTCTCGTAGAAGCTAAGAGTAGGAATGGTGGTTAGAGCCCATTACTAGGTTATGGTCATGCAGCTGGAAACGCGTGTGATGCTGTTATGGTCCCACCTGGGAGGCTTCCTCCCTTACACCTGACGCCTGCCCAGGTGTAACGTCACTTCTGTGACATGAGCATCTGCGTCGCCAGTTCCTGGGCCCCCGTCAGACAGGAGCTGGAACAGCTGGCTTCCCATGCGCTTTCAGATCATGATGCAGCACGAGCTGTTTGCTCTCTGTCACTGCGATGTGGGTCCCTCAGGAGTCGGGAGTCTGAGGCCAGCGAGCCAAGCTTCTGGGGCTCTTTATGTCAACACTTCCCATGGGGCACCTGGAGCGTGGTCGGGGCGCCCCCCTGGGCCCCGCAGGCCGTGAGAAGGATGGGGACAGGTCCTATTAGCGGTGATTCGGGCGGCCCCACGGGACCAGTTGAGTGTTTGAAGAAATGCATGCACTACCCACTTTCTGACCACGTGTGGCGACAGCTCAGCCTGGCATCTCAGTCCACGTAGTAACCTACACACTCGAACCCCGCAGAGAAACCTTCCAGGCCATTCTGCCCTCCACGTGCCCGGAATTCATGTGTGAGAACACGACAGGTTTGCACATCTACTTGTTCACTTCTGATTGTTTTGTGACCCTTGAAGCAGAGACTTGGCTAGTTATGAAGCAGTCTCAGATGACATTATCTGTCACTGATGGATAGATGGAAATCTCTTCCCTTCAGGTGACCACGGGTGATGCTGTCCTATGTTTGTCATGGCATGGTGCCCCGTAAGAAGGGTAGCATTTCCCAGCTCCTGTGGCACACAGATGAGGCTGTCCCGTGCGGGAGTCAGTTCTGACGAGCAGCCCTGGGATTTCAGGTCCCCTCCTCGTCTTGAGCCGAGGGGACTGACCCCTCGCGACCTACCTGCGGCCTATCTGTAGATCACCAGGTGGGAAGATGCCCAGCATCTTTACGATGCAGGGACAGCCGTGTCCTACAAAACTTCCCACCAGGATGGATGTGTCTGACCCGGGAGCCACTAGCCAGCTGTGCCTCTCTGCACTTGAAAGGTGCTTGGGACAACTGGGCAACTCGATTTTGTTTAATTCCACTCGTTTGAACCCAGGTGGTGGATGTGGGCTTTCGTCATGTCTGTTTCAGCATGTAGGGAAAGGCACGGGTGTTCCCCTCTGCCGAGCAGCCTGGCTCAATGGGGCGTGTTTGTCTTGCAGCCTTCGGACAAGGAGATACTCAGCCGGTCAGTTACGAGCCTGGCCACAGACGCTCCTGCCAGCAGCGAACAGAACGGAGCACTCACCAACGGAGACAGTAAGTCCTCGCGAATGCCAGCCTCCCACGCGGGCCTCCTCACTCAGAAAGGACGAGGTTTCCAAAAATGTAGCTCAAGCACGGGGAATGTCTTCTTGCTCACTCTCTGGATGACTACCAGTTTCCGGAAACATGGGCGAAAAGCTAGGATTTATGTATTGGCTCTTGTGTGTTGTTGCGCTAACATCTATACATGTGGCGCAGAGCATGAAGGTGGGGGTAGGTTCAGGAGGGCTGGGGTCCACCATCATTTTCCCCAGTCACCCCTTAGGGACACTGTTTCTGATCCCCCCAAAGAGACACAGTCTTTTTTTCCCAAGGCGAGAAGTGAGCACTGTATTCGTTCATTCATTCATTCATTCATTCATTCATGGGTCAGTCACATGACCCTCTGCCTACAAGACTCCCATCAGGAGTGACAACAGGGAGTGAACCAAACTTATAGCCAAGACAATGTATTAGATATTGTCCTGGAAAGATGTGTATTGGATGCCTTTAGTTTAAACTATGATTGAAATAAGAATATGCACCAACAATCATAACGTCTATAATTTGCAGCCTGGAGCCACCAAGCGAGCAGGTGGGCGCTTTACGTCAGTGGTTCTCAGCCTTCCTAATGCCGCAACCCCTTAATACAGTTCCTCATGTTGTGGTGACCCCCAACCATAAAATTATTT